TGGAATAACCTTAGAGGAGTCTCCAAGACCTATTAGATCAAGACTTTTTAATCTTTTTTGTGTCATGGACCCCTTCTCAGAAAAAAAAAAAGTTTTTAAATGCATAAAATAAAATACATAGGATTGCAAAGGAAACCAATTTTATTGAGAAACGGTTCTGAAAATATTTTTTAATTAGTTCACATATCCCAAGTTAAGAACCCCCATGTTAGTTAGATATTTATATAAAGCTAGCCTCAAGATCTCATTTCCAAAATAGAGGCCAAATTTTTTTGGATGAGCCTGATCTTCACAGCCTAATTCACATGGGGTTTTTTATACCCTGGAGTTTTCACATGTGCGTTTTTCTTACAACGGGGCATACTTTTATACACTTGTCCAGTTAGCATCCTTGTCAAAAAAAAAATCCTCAAGAGAACGGATTTCCTATTTTGATTCAGTTTTTCTTCTTTATTTCTCTTTGTAAGTCAGTCTCTTTCCCTTCCTTCTCCTCTTTCCCTCATATACACATACTATACTTCCTAGTTATTCAGTCTTCCTTCACGTTCAAAAAGCTAGCCACTTTGTGTGTTAGACACATGAGAAAAGGCTACTCATCTCCCTTCCTTTGCCTCCAGTTCAAGAACAGCAATTGAAGTAGTTCTTTCCACAGTCATATCAAAGAAAAGTCACAGGGTATGCCCCAGCTCCCTGCGTCCCTTGAGAGGATGTCGCTTAACTTCGAGGGTAAAAATCCTCAGCCTTGGGGCTGGCTGAGTGGTCTGTCTGTTACTATAAAGCATTTTCTAAGCTGATGGAATTCCAGGCTAAGCCCAGATGTCTCCCAGGTATAGATGGTGTCAGCACTCATATCAATGTAGTGCACTGCATCTCCGCAGGATGCTCAAGGGGTTACAGTTGCTCACAGTGGCAGCTCAGACATTCATCCCCAGAGTAGGGTGGATTAGGTTTGAGGTGTTGGTACAGATCAAAGCAATCCCTAGAAGACTCTCTCTATCCGAAGTAACAGAGAGTAGAGACCAGACAAAATATTTGGACAGTGGGAGGCATGGATCTAGCTTTTCATTTGAACTCACATTTTGGGGAGAGAGCTTGATGTTTGCTGGGATCTACATTGTGATTTTGTTCAATGTGATGTACAGTTACATGGACATCAAGAAGTCCAGTAAAGAATGGCAGTTTTGTATCCAAGAATTATGACATCTGCTTCATAGTTTTTTGTTTAATAATGAAGGCTCTTTCTTCCCCCTCCCTGCCCTGTTACAGAGAGGAACCTAAACCCCAAAGCAGCCTGCCTTAAGAGAAGGGAAGAAGAAAAAGTTTCTGCCGTATCGGCAGAGCCACCAACCACACTGCCAGGAAGCCATCCTGGGCTTAGTGAAACTACCAACCCTATGGGTCATATGTAAACACCGGCCAGGTAGGTCTGGGGTTTGGTGGGGAGAAGAGCAGGGGAGGTAAAGAGTTACACTGCCTGGGCAAACTGATTTACTTCTCTCTAGATGAGAACCTAAGAGTGGAATTATGATGGCTTCAATTATTTTAAAGTTAATCTCCAATTTGGAAGCCTTCAATGTTGTCTTTCTGTTCTAAAAGTTGACATAGGGAACAAATCTTATTTAAGACCCAACTATTTACCATCCTCAAGATGTGATAATATCATATGATTCTTAGAGGGCTTTTGCTCCCCTCCCACTACCCTATATAAATGCAGTTTGTTACAAAAAGTCACATCCTGGACTCAGATGAATTTCCTTCTGATCCAGGAAGCAAATAGAAATATGGCCCATCCCTCCAGGAATATTTTGCCACCATTAATACTGTACATTACCCTGCTTAGAAATACTTGTCTGTCTCAGTCTGTCTAAAACTTTTATCATCCACTTCCCCTTAGATTTGTAGGACATTATTCCCTCAGCTTATCTCACACTAGGTATGCTGACAGGCAAGGGTATTTTCTTTCTTTTTTTGTGGGGGTGGGGTGGGGGGAGGCTAGGCAATGGAGTTACGTGACTTGCCCAGGGTCACACAGCTAGTAAGTGTCAAGTGTCTGAGGCCGGTTTGAACTCAGGTCCTTCTGACTCCAGGGGCCAGTGCTCTATCCACTGTGCCACCTACCTGCCCCCAATGCCAAGAGCATTTTTGAAACTGGCAAGCGGACTCACTTTTTAAGGGATGGGACCTTAATAAATAAAAAGGGGGAAAGAAATCATGGCATGTGGTCAGTATTCTTTTCTTTATCTTGGCTCATCTTCAAAGAATTATCTTACCACTGATGGTGGATGATTAATGAAAACACAGTTATTTGGTAATGATGCTTTTGCCCTTCATAATATATTAGAAACATGTTGCTTATGTTGTAAGAGGCTAACCCCAGAATCTGAATTATTTGAAGAATTTTTCCCCACTTCATTCATATCAGGTATATTCCTGTTATAAAAGTTAATTTCTACAACAACAACAAAAATAAAAGATTGAATAATATAATACTCGCTAGGCTCCTTTCAAGTAAGGAGTGTTTTATTCATTATATTTGTATCCCTTTTATTTGGCCTAGCAGATTCACACTCAGAGAGACTGAACCAGCCTAGGATGTAATTGAGAAATGTTGAACAAAATAAACAAAAATACAATAGAGCATTGATAATATTAATTTATGGCTTTCATGGATTTGTTTCTATTTGGGGTTTGACACCACTGACTTAACCCCTAGTAGGTGCTTAATAAATGTTTGCTGATTGATTGATTTAATTTTTAAAGCAATTACATTTTAGCCAGTCATATGGATTGAGAATGAAATTGTTAGCCAGATTGTTTGATGTTTTTTTTTTCTTCCATAGTATTTCTTTGTTTCATTAGTGTAGCCCTAGAACATGGAACTTCTACTCACCGACCCCTGTTAGACTTTGCTAGAACTATCTCATTTAAAGCTGAGCCTCTAAAATTTTGATGAGTAGCAAATAAGTAGCTAGTCATTTTCTCCCAAAGGACTTTTTTGTTATGGTTCCCACTATGCATTATACCCTTAGCCTTAATGCAAACAGATCCCAAACTAGATTTTACTTATAAAAATAAAAGGAGGCAGGATGGGTGTGGAAGCTTCAAAATAATACAAAAAATGCTAGTTCCAGCTGTAACTTTTAGGCATTATAGAATGAAGCAGCCCCACGTTCTCAAGGGACAACCTTGAGTCCTTCCTACATAAAAAAAGATCTCACAGAAGAAACAATGAGATGGGTGCTAGAAGTCAGGGAGCTGCTGCTAGAGGTGAAAGAGCAAAAGCATCAGCTAAGACTGGGGTAGTGCTGAGAACACAAAGACAAAAAAGAACTAAGCCCTGCCTTTAGGGAGCTTACCTTCTTTCTGAGAGAAAAACATTATGGATGTACAAATAAATACGAAGTAATTCCAGTGTGACAGAGAACACTGAGGGAATCAGGAACGGTCCCTTGTTGGGGAGGTGACACCTGAGCTCAGTCTTGAAAGAAACAAGGGAGTCCAAGAGTTAGAAGTGAGGAAAAAGAATTCAAGACATAGGGGCTGCTCTCTGTGAAAATATGGAGGTACCAGTTTGACTGGAATGTCAATTGAAAAATTTTAAATGCAGTGTATCCTGAAAGGTATCACTGTATTACATCCTACACAGCGTTAGTTTCTATTCCTAGTGATGATCCTCAGCCACTAAGAAAATATTGTCATATTTAGCATATTCTGTTTAGTGAGGCATAGAAGTATAGGTGACTGCATAGAAAAACTTCTATCTAAAATGATTAAAATTAAAATAGGCTTGGGCACTTTCTAGGGTAAGGTTCAGTTATTTGGAACATTCAGTATTCTGGCGAAACCAGATAAATGATGTTCTGCTTACTGAATAAAGAGTTAAATTCCCTTTCTTCCTTTGAAAACTCCATGAATTGAATTACAGGGTCTAGGAATAGCCAGGTGAGAAAATCAGCCAGGTCCCTTTTTCCCAACATCTCCATGACTATCATTTAGCCTCTACTATTCTATTAATGTGATATTTGTCATATCTGAAAATAGAAGCAAATACAGGTTGTATGATGAACTTTCTTCTGCTTCAGATCGAATAAGATTTACCGTGCCAATAAATTAATTCTCTAACAGATATGTGTAACAAGTCTCATACTAACTCATCTCATTCTTCTCCCCTAATTTCCATACCAGAGTTCCAGAGTGATTGGTAGGCTAGATAGAAGGTGACCTCTCCTCACAAGGACACAGACAACTCAGATTATCTGAAGACACAAATCTGACAGGAGAAAAACAAAACAAAAACACTTGAAGCAAGAAATTCAAATGCAATCTTATGATCAAAGCAACTGGTCAACACCTGCATCAGAAGAAGTGAAGATAGAAAAGCTCATCAGATAGAACTGCAGCCCATCAAATGTTCGGAACATATCATTCTGTCGCAAGCAGTGTGTCGCTTCTGCACAATCAGAGACTGTCTCGATCTCTCCACTCACCGTGGAAGTTGCCTTGTGCCTAAACTGAATTGACAAATGCATTGTAACTACAAATTTTATTTATTGTTATGGAACTGTAAAGGTCTACGTATAAAGGGAAAAGTTGATATGGAAAGCTGATCTGCACTCAGCTGATGCCAGCATTTATAAAAGCCGTTCCCATGCAGAGAACAAAGCAGTGACAACCATTGACCCTTAGCATTCCCAGTATACCTATTAGTGTCTTAAAAAAGGGAGGGAAAAGGCTTCTATTGCCCTCTCCATTCCTTTTGCCATATGAATAGTGTTTTCCGTGCAACAGGAAAATATTCTTCAATAGAGCTTTTTTTTTTCTTTCTCCCTGTCTTTTTTCCCCTGGTTATTTTCCTCCCTGTATGGGCATTGCGTTTGGTCTCTGGTAATCTGAACAGTTAGTCACAGCCCAAACCCCTCCCTGCCAAGATCTGAGCATTTTATGTTAGAGTAGAGAGCAGAGACCAGCTATGACCCTTGCCTTGCTTAGGTTTTAGAAGG